AGAGAGAAATTTTTTAATGTTTATTTTTTAGTTTTCGGCAGACACAACATCTTTGATTGTATGTGGTGCTGAGGATCGAACCCGGGTCGCACACATGCCAGGTGAGCGTGCTACCACTTGAGCCACATCCCCAGCCCAGTGTCATAGTATTAAGATAGAATGATTCTCCCCTTACCTGTACTGGGGATCTAGCCCAGGGGTACTTTACCACTCAGCCACTTCCCCAGCCCTTTTAATATTTTATTTTGAGAAAGGGTCTCGCTAAATTACTTAGGGCCTTGCTAAGTTGCTGAGGCTGGCCTTGAACTTGTAATCCTCCTGCCCCAGCCTCCAAAGCCACTGGGACTATAGGAATGTACCACTGCACCTAGCTAGATATAATGATTCTGAAAAGACAAGTGTTCAATAATTATTTTGCAAATATGAATCCGTAAGATGCTAGAGCTATCCTACATACAGCCACACCATTAAAAGTTACCTAGAGACAAGATTTTCCACTTCATTAGATAATACATCTCCAAAACTTCCTGTGACAAGCCACAGGGTGGGAATGTCCTTGTAGTTCTCAAAGAGGGAATGAGTCTGACAGGACACAAATAGAAAACTGCCACACTAACATAAAGAGCTAGATGAGGAGAAAAAAAGAATATGGATAATCAAAAGAAGAAAACAATAAAAGATCAAAGAAGAGGTATAAAGCCAGGCATGGTGGCACATACCTGTAATTCCAGTGGCTTAGGAGGCCAAGGCAGGAGGGTCATAAGTTCAAAGCCAGCCTCAGCAATTTAGGCAGACTCTAAGCCACTTAGTGAGACCTTGTCTCAAAATAAAATAAACCAAGTGCTGGGGATGTGGCTCAGTGGCAGAGTACACCTGGGTTCAATATCCAGTAAATCCCCTTCCCCCCAAAAGAAGAGATATAGAAATTTTAAAAAAGAAAAAGGGGAAAAAGCAACAGGAAGAAAAGAAACAATGATACTTGTAACTGTTTTGTATTAGGTTCATATGAAGGCACAGATAGCTTATGAAACTGGACTTTCACATGACAGAGCCATACAGTTCTAGATCTCATGGACGCATAAGCCAGGATGCTGGGCCAGCAGACCATGGCGATGTTTACTGTTGTTCTAGCAATGGCTCAGCCAGAGCTACCTCAAAGGTAGTCAAAATAGTGAACACTTCAACCATCTATCAGTACAAGCCAACTAGCACAGACCACATCTTTAAAGAATGGAGAGAACAGTCATTCCCCTCTACACTGAGCTGATATGATCCACAAATATTAAAAAATTTGATTTTTATCTTATAAAAAGCCACTTTTGGGCTGGGAGTATAGCTCAGTGGTAGAGTGCTTGCCTATCACAGAAGTTCCTGGTTCTGATTCCCAGCACTGAAAAAACTATTAAAAAAAAAAAAAAAAGTCACTCTACCTATTATCATTTTCAGTATGGTAGGAATAAGTATTATATATAAAATACTTCAACGTTCCAGATTTTAAAGGATTTTTATTTTATTGGGTTAAATTAAATACTAACTCCTAGGTAAATAATTCCAATGAATTCACTCTATTCCTCATTTCCCAAAGATTTTCCTTCAAAGACTGAGCATCAGAATTTAAGACTGTTGAAAATCAAGAGGAATGAGTAAAGATACAGAAACAAAAACAGGAACATAAAAGATATTCACCCTAGAATAGTTCTGACAGTTTCCTAAAAAACTAAACATGCAACTATCATATGACCAAAACTGAACTCCCAAGTATTTATTTATGTTCACATAAAAATATGTACATTACAGAAAAAGAAAAAGGAAAAAATCTACATGATTGTTCACAGCAGCTTTATTCACAATAATAGCCAAAAGCTGGAAACAACCCAAATTTTCTTCCAACAGGTGGATGTTTAAAAACAAAACAAAATCTGTGGTATATCTATCTATACCATGGAATACTACTCAGCAACAACAGCAAAAAATGAACTACTAATACATGCAATGACCTGGATTCGACTCTAAAGAACTTGCTAAGTGAAGAAAAGCCAATCCCAAAAGGTTAGATACTGATATCACTCCATATGTGTAACATTCTTGAAATAACAAAATTACAGGAATGGAAACTAGTGAGTTAAGGGCAAGGGGATGAGAGTACAGGTGTCACTTAAGGGAATCAGGAGGGATTCTTGCAGTGATAGAAATATTATGTACCTTGCCCCTGTCAATGTTAACTTCCTTCAATAATAATATTATGCTACGTCTTACTGTTGTTTTGCACAAGTTACAACATGAGAGAAACTGGGTAAATAATACAAAGGATCTTTCTGTTAATTTCTTACAACTGCATATGAGTCTACAATTACCTTAAATTTAAAAGTTTAATTAAAACAAAAGAGGAGAAAGCCTTTGTTAGCTGTCTCTCAAGAGTACTGGCTTACCCCCAAGACACCTGACTTTTTGTCTAGGAAGGCTACAACCTATGATCTTGAAAGACTAACTTCTCTGGTCCTAAATTTTTTCATTGGACTTGATGACAGCCATCTCTAAAATTACATGATTCTAGGGGTGGGGGGGGGCAACAGCAGGAAATGTAATAAAGCTATTGGTGGGAAGTGGGAGGATGAGTTAAGTGGAGGAATTTGGGGCCAGTCTGGAAACACAGCAAGACCCCTTCTCAAAAAAGTCAACCATGGACTGGGGTTGTGGCTCAGTGGTAGAGCACTTGCCTGGCATGTGTGAGCCTGGATTCGATCCTTAGCACCACAAATAAATAAACAAATAAAGTGAAAAATCCACTGGCAACTAAAAAAAAAGAGTCAAACAACCAACTAATGTGGAGGGGTACGGGGAACCACTGTGTAGAAAAATAAAGGCAGTGATCTTTCCAAATGTGCTACAATAAATGTAAAAATGTTTGATAAAAGAGGAAAAAGTTAAGATTTTTTTGGCAATCCAAAAGCATTTCTCATTTTAATTATCTTTATTTTCTTTTTTGGTACTGGGATTGAATGCAAGGGCACTTTACTATTAAGCTATATCACTAGTTCTTTTTTTTTTTAATATAGTTATTTTTTATTTTGAGACAGGGTCTTGCTAAATTGCTGCAGGTCTTGAATTTCTGATCCTACTTCAGCCTAACAAATCACCGTGGTTACAGACATGCACCACAGTGGTTTGGAATCCATCAATCTTCATTTTCTTGAAAACCTTGTTTAAAGCCTCATATTGCTAGGAAGATGTGTAAAATTTGTAGGAATTAATGAATTAATGAACTAAATAATTAACACACATCTTATTTGAATTTATTTCTTTTTTTCCCATGGTGCTGGGGACTGAACCCAGGTCCTCCCTCACACTTGCATGTGCTCTCCCTTTGAACAATATTACCAGACCATGAATTTTATTTTACATATCAGACGTCTAGATAAAGGGTGGTGTAGCTGTCCTGAAGCAGGCCTACAGATAAACACAAATCATTCTTAAGTATGAAAAAGACAGGACACCAAACCAATTCCAAGCTATATATTCTTCTCTTATGGAGAATGGAGTTACTTAATTGATTTATAACTAGGAGTTTTGCTTTTCTGAAAGGAGGATGTGTTAAGTCAGAAGTAACAATTCACAGATCAGACTCAAGTATCTGTGACAGAACTTCTGTCCACCTTCAGAGAAAGTCCCAATTCGCTCTCTCCCACTTTCCAGACAGCTCTGCCTCACTGGGCTGTCTTGGGGCTCAACAGGCGGTACAGCTGCTGCCATAGCATCATGGAGACACACCTAAGCTTGCCCATATTCACCACAGTGTGGAAAGCTTTCTCTCAGGTCTCCCTAAGGTAAGCTGACACAAAGAAAAGCAACCAGAGCAGATGTTCCACGTGTTGGACAAGCCTTGACATATATGGTTAGATTTTAATTAGAAATTAGAATAAACATTTTTGAACTAAAAATAATACAACAATATACTATATTTGTATTTTCAGTAGAAATTTTTTAAAAGAAAAAAATTATGTTTAGTACATTTGGGGGTTCTTTTTTAATACTTAATAAAAAATATGCCGGGTGTGGTGGCACACACCTGTAATCCCAAAGCCTTGAGAGGCTGAGGCAGGAGAACTGCAAGTTCAAGGCCAGCCTCAGCAAGTAAGCAAAGCCCTAAGCAACTTACCAAGACCCTGTCTCAAAAATAAAAGAGGCAGGGTGGCTGGGTGTGTACCTCAGTGGTAAAACACCCCAGGGTTTAATCCCTCGTACCAAAACACATACATGTGTGTGTGTGTGGGGGGGTTTGTATCGATTATATATGATTGTATATGTATTATAAATATATAAATATATAAATTATATGAAAATATATAATATAATTATATAATTATATATAAATATACATAATAAATACACACACACATATATATATACACACATATATATAATATATATATATATATAAATAAATATATAAACAATTAATGAAGACAAAGCCTCATTCTGAGGCCAGGCTGGAAATGGTTTGGGGAATATGAGATTATGGTGGAGAATGTTAAAGATAGTTTAAATGATACTTTACCAAGTTCTAAAAATCTTCCATGGAATGAATGCCCTCCTTTATAGAGATTTCTTTATAGTCCTGCATTCTTTCCTTTCCCTCAACTCCCACCCAGGATTTTTGTTAAGAGATTGACTTTTTTTGGTTTCTTAGTTAGGAATGAACCTCAGACTCCATCCAAAGGTAGATGAAAGAGAATTTTAAATTTAATTTAATTGGTTATTCATTTCTTAAACACTTCTTGAAATATTTGTCTTTTAGTTGAACAATTTCTTGGAGCCTCAAAACCAGAAACATGGTACTGTTTTTAAACCCAACTGACAAGTATACATCTGGTCTCCCACTAGCTCCCTATTCAAAAACTAAAGTAACAAACATAACAATTGGGGGAAAATGAGTTAGGGTTCGCCAGGCAAGTAGGGTTACACACTTCATGATCTTGAAAAGACAAAAAAATGAGTATGTACTAATGATCTACACAACTGACACTCACCGAGAGATCACTGCCACCGACTCGCTGTGTGAGACACCACTTAGTGAGGAGCACTCTGAGTCTCCTGTGGGAAGAAGAGCAGAGAAGTTTYAACTGGAAGAGACTGCCACATACACCCACCAAGCCTATACAGCTCTTCGTAGAATATTCCGTGAATATACATATACATATACATTCAGCCCTGCTCTGGAAGCCATGAGACTACCCTCTACCTTGCTTTGCCTTTCTTGTGCTCAAGAACAGCAGAGAGAAGACTGATGGGACAGGACAACTAGGGACCAGAGTCCTCCAGAAGCTCCAGTAAGTCCCCCAAAGCAGATGATTAATGAGGGTGATAATATGAGTCAAGCACAGCACATAATTGTTAGCCCCTTTCCTAGGAGACTGCAACCAATCCCACATGGAAGAAAAGGGCTCCCTACTCACCCTCCTCCTCTTCATTCCCGTCATGGCTGCAGCAGTCCTCCAAACTGTCTATTAGTTCTTCTTCTGTATCTTCAGCCTCAACCTGGTCTGGCTGGAGGTTAGCTGCTGAACTAAAAGAAAGAATCATGCCCCCAGCCCAACCAACTCCATAAGATGTCACAGTTAAGAGTCTCATTTCCTATTGCTTTTTATTTTTTAATTTTACAGGGTCTCACTAAGGTGCTAAGGCTGGCCTTGAACTTTTAATCTTCCTAAGTCTCCCAAATCACCAGGATTATAGGCATGTGCCACTACATGCAGCTTCATTTCTCTTTTATCTCCCAGTATTTGTTTCCTCCTTGTCACCAATCTGCTATGTCCTGCCTGGATCTCAAACTCATTTCTCTTGCCCTCAAAGTTCACATCTAGCCATAGTTCTTTTCATCCCCCCCCACCTATTCAGTAGCACTACCTCTTCCATTTTCTTTGAAGTCCCTTACTTCATAATATATAAGTTCAAAACTCTGCATATAAATGAATATCTTCAAATGTTCCTAGGTTGCTCACTGGGAACTCAGAAGGACTTGACAAACCAAAATTCCAGAAAAGTAACAAGACACAAGAGAAGGAATCAACCTGACTGAATTGTTGGCTGTCATACCAGCAATGCTTGGGAACCTGATTTGATTTGGAACAAGTAGAAAAGCCACAGATCCCAACACCTCGTGTCTGGAATTCTTATTTCTCTCCTGGATATAACCTAAATAGGGGCTAGCAAATTCTTTCTCTAAAGGACAAAAGAGTAAATATTTTTAGTTTTGCAGGCCATTCAATCTGTCACAACTATTCAACCCAAATGTTGTAACAAGAAGGCAGCCACCGTAAGGTCTGTAATCCCAGCACCTCAGAAGGTCAAGACAGGAGGATCCTAAGTTTGGCCTTAGCAACTTAGCAAGACCCTGAGAAATTTGGTGAGATCTTGTTTCAAAATAAAAAACAAAAATGAATTGGGATGTAGCTCAGTGTTAAAATGCCCCTGGATTCACCATTCAGTACCAAAAATCAAAACAAAACAAAGGGGCTGGGGTTGTGACTCAGCGGTAGAGCGTTCGCCTAGCACGTGCAAGGCCCTGGGTTCGATTCTCAGCACCACATAAGAATAAATAAATGAAGTAAAGGTATTGTGTCCAATTACAACTAAAAAATAAAATTTTTTWAAAATAATAAGCAGCCACAGACAATAGAAGTAAATGGCCCTGGCTGTGTTCCAATACAACTGTATTTCAAAAAGTAGGCAACAAGCAGGATTTGGTCTGCAAGCTAGTTTCCTGATCCCTGCCCTAAAATCAAAGTCAAAAATTCTGAGACAGTTAAAAAATAAAACCAACCTTCAGAGGTAACTGGGTCAGTATCACCATTATGGTATACCCATTGTACTGCTCTAAATGAACCAAAAACATTCTTCTACTTACCCAATATCCCTAGCAGGTGAGGCCAGCTCCCTGCCTTTCTCAAGTTCCTCCTTTCCAGGCTGGCCCAGATGGATGGAAGACAGATGGGTGGCCACTTCAGCTACCCCAAGGGGCTGAAGGAGAGGAGGGGGAACAGGAGTTTTATCTTCTCTAGGTAGTGGGGGATCAACTACAGACTCACAGGCAGGGCTGGGACTGAGCCCACTGGCATGTGAGGCAAGGAGGTGAATGCTGATCCTTTTGGTACAGAAGACTGTACTGTCCAATCCCACGGTATCCGAGGCACCAGGAAGGTTCCTACTGTCTGATCCAGCATCCTCCTGAGGAAACTGCTGGCCAGCTACAGGTTTCCACTGCCTGCTCCTGTTCAGAAGGTTCCACTGGAGGCTGGGGTTCACAAAACAAGACTGTTCAAACTGGTAGCCTTGTCGGGGTATCTTCTCAAAACCTTTTGCAGTCAATTTCCTCACAGCCTCTGTGAAACGAACCTCTTTAGCTGGAGCCTGGGAATCTGAATTGTCATCCAGGACATAGGGATGTGGCTCTGTCCTCAAGGCTAATTTATTCTGGCTATACTGAGAAGAGGCAACACTGGTGGTTGATGTGTTGAGGGAGCTAGGGGTAGACAGAGTAGCAGGGATGATATGGGCAGTGGCATCCTCTAGGACAGTGCCAGTGCTTTGGGGCACCTTATGATCAACAGGCTGGGGTGCATAGTCTCCTGTACCCCCTGAATGATGCCAGGAGATAGGCTGGATCTTGGGTGAGGATACTGACTTCAGGCCCTCTACAGCCTGAGATAAAGGCACTTTAGTGCTACTTGGGCGCATGAAGGAATTATTGTTCAGCATGGGCTTGTAGGAAGAGGACAGTGGAGATGGGATCTTCCCTGAGATGGCACAGGCCAGACTCCTCCTTGAAGGGCTTTCCCCAGCTGCTGCCAGTAAGAGGTATGGATCTGTGGATGAGGACGCCATGGGCTGAGCCATGGGGAAGACTGTGGAACAAGTGGCTTTACTGGCAGTGAGACTGACAGGGAGACTCTTCTGAGGGAAAGAAAAAGGTTTTTTTTCTGATCGGCTTGAGCGCAAGCAGAAAGACTCCAATTGCTGGTATGGTTTGTGCCTACTGTTGGAACGGCGGTACAGCAGGGTATTGCTGAACAAGTCTGGGAGAGAGTGCAGGTAACAGGAGGTGCTGTGACCTGTAATGACGGTTGTGGTCCCAGGGCTACATAAAGTGTTGGGACAAAAGAAATAGGCTGGCTGGGGTGGAACCTCTAAGAGGCCTGAGCCCAGCCCCGTTGACAGTGTGCCCACGTGCTTCTTCTCCAGCTTCCAGATTGGCTTCACCTGCTGATGGGCCTGTGACCAGACTTTGCACTCTGACGGTTTCTCAGGTGGTGGAGCAGGCACTGTTCCTGAGGAACCTCGCTGCTTGAAGTTGCTTCCCGGGCGGAGGCCAATACTGTAGTGCTCTGCTCCTGCTGAGGCCATGAGGGGCCCACATCATGGCCGCATGGCCTCAGGGCCTGGCTCAGGTAAGGTGCCACACATCTCCAGTAGCAACAGCTTCATCTTTGAAGTCTGTCAACTGCAGGGGAGAGAGGGTTAGGAATGCTGTATTCCTGGGAGGATGGAAAGTATACTAGAGTGGTCCTCAGGTAAGCAACAAGTCCCACTCAGCATTTCTTAGGCAACCAGTCTTGGTCACCATTTGGGGCCATGGGAGAAGAACCCTATGTTTCCAGGGAATTCCCAGTGGTCTTCCTGATGCCCTCATCCAACCAGACTTTAATTCCAAGGCTGCTCAGTGTGTCCACCTATCTCACTCAGAAAGTGTGCCTTCCTCTCCAAAAAAAGGTACATATCTTTGTCTCACATAATTCTCCATGAGGGGCCACATCCCCTCACCTAAAACCAGCATGGCTAGGAATGAGGCAAGTCTGGAAGTGGCAGAGAAGAACCAATATCTTCCTCTCACCCACCAGTTTTGAAAGCTCAAAAGATTATTTGATAATGCATTTGACCTCTATTTCTCCCTAATCTAGCTCTCAGCTACCCCTAATTCAGCCTGCTTTTTACAGTTAAGCAGGACAAGTTCAGACAGAAGCGAAAATTCCCCTGCTAACCTTGGAGTTTATTCTGGACCTAAAACAGAAATTTCATCTCTTCAAGAATCTTGCCAGCTAGGGTGGGGTTGTATCTCAGTGGCAGAACACAGCCTTGCACATGGGAGGCACTAGGTTCAATCCTCAGCACCACATAAATATAAATAAACAAAATAAAGATATTCTGTCCATGTATAAGTAAAAAATATTTTTTTTAAAAAATGAATCTTACCAGCCATACACTTAAATCCCTAACAACATGTTAATAGGAAAAAGAAGAAAGAAAATGGAACTAAACACCAACATTATTTTTACTTACAGTGACTTTATTCCCAGCAGCCACAATGGACAGGAGTATTCAGGGAGTGGAATGAAGAGGCAAGAAGAGGAGAAAAGCTTTCTTTACTCCAGAGCCCAGACGTCAGTTTGGGTTGCTCTCGGGGATAGAAAGTCTGTCTTCTCATTCATCGTTTCCTCTCATGCAGAATCTTTGAACCAGCCTTGTAGTTCTGAGTCTTAATCTCTTCAGCATGGTCACTCTCTTTCTAAATCAAATTCACAAAATATTCTCCAGTTTTCACAAACGCAGAGAAAGGTGTGTTTGCTTTCACTGCAGCACGGGAGGGGGATAAGCCTATCTATAAGAAGTCAGACATCTGGGATAATTCTAAATGATGCTATCCTCATCAAGTGTTTTCAAAGAAGCTAGTGAGGAAAGGATGACACACACAAACAGCCTGCAAAAGCCACGTGATGTCACCTTCTTTCCCTGAAAAGGCTGACTTCCATTGAACTCTTTCTTGAGGAGAGTACAAAAAGTCACAACATCACTCACCAATATTCAAAATGATGGTGGGCTAAAAGCAGCATAAATGCTAAAACCAGATATTGAGGCCAGCTTAACCTCAAAATGAGGTGACAAACTAGATCTCTATAGAAGTCCTAACTATGGAAACACTGTAAATGGGACAATTACCCTGTGCATATATAATAGAGAAACACACAACAGGAAGAGGCAAATCCTACCTTTTCACAAGACTGCACATGTGCATATGTGTAAGTGTTATGTACGTTCAAGATTCACGTTTGGCGGGGCTGGGGATGTGGCTCAAGCGGTGGCGCGCTCGCCTGGCATGCGTGCAGCCCGGGTTCGATCCTCAGCACCACATACAAACAAAGATGCTGTACCCGCCGATTACTAAATAATAAAATATTTAAAAAAAAAAAAAAAGATTCACGTTTGGGGCTGGGGATGTGGTGGTAGCGCGCTTGCCTGGCATGCGTGCGGCCCGGGTTCGATCCTCAGCACCACATACCAACAAAGATGTTGTGTCCGCCGAGAACTAGAAAATAAATATTAAAATTTCTCTCTCTCTCTCCTCTCTCACTCTCTCTTTAAAAAAAAAAAAAAAAAAAAGATTCACATGTTTGCCCTACCAGTGTAACAAAATGGATACACCAAAGTGATGGGAGAAAAGCATTAAGAAAATCAAAATTCATGCTGGTATCCCCTGAAAAACAATCCCACTCATGATTCCCCATGTGCATCATGCTACTTCAGACTTTCAGGCCTTTCTAAGCGCTGGTCCAGGCCTTCATGGGTGAAGTCCGCAGGAGCACACCACTGCTGTCTCATTGATGCCACAGACAATCCCATATTACCCCGCAGCCATCAGCACTCACTGCATAATACCTCAGGGCTGGGAGAAGAATTCCTCTCTGTTGCCACACAGTGCTCAGTTTTGCCTGATTTCCACCATGTGAATCCTAGTGCCAGGAACACTGGACACAAGGAGTCTTTCACCCAATTGTCTTGCCTTTTAATCCAAACACAAGGAGGAAGAAGGCTAAGAACAAACTCCCACCCTCCTAGAAGCTTTGGGTGGCCTGATCCCACACAGTGTGAAGCAGGCCAGCTTGGCCAATGACAGCCAGAGTACGGTGACTTCTCTTCTCTTCTCTCCAACTGATGGGATTTCAGAGCTCATGTCTCTGCAACAGTTATTTCCATTCCTAGTCTCCTGTCACAGAGGAGACTATGATGTGTAGGATGCCAAGATGAAGAAGCAGCACCTGTATTCCTAAAGAAAGATATCTGCAGCAAGGACCAAGTGGGTAAAATGTTGCTAAATTCTTTCTGAGAAAGAGCTCCTCAGCTAGTCAGAGACATCCAGGATTGGCTAAGATGGTTGTCAGGTAATGCTGAGCAAAAAACAAATTGTTGTGTCACACTCAGCAGTGAGTAGCTCCAAGAACATGAAGTAAATAGTAACATTCCACAACAGTTATCACATACAAGGGTTCCAAACTGGTTTCACTGTTTTTGGTTCAGAATTAGTATCTGCTTACACAAAGACATGATGATTGCTAAAAGTAACTTCCTTCTTTCTCCTTGTAAAATTCCTAGTGATATTAAAACCTCACATAATGAGAAGCAGAAACCTAGCTAGAACATTCAGGCAGACTTTGTCCTAGGCCCCCAACCTCTGCCACAGTCACCTTTGCCTGTGTGTTGTCCAGTGGCTACAGGAGTGTTTAGTAGCAAGACTTAAAAAAGCTGTAGAAGATCCAAAATCTAAGAAGTTGAAAAACAAAAAATAGTTTCAAAAGCTAATGCACCAAAAATAGTGAGTTCTGCCATAAAATCAAAGCCCAGACAGGCAAAGAATGTCTGGCAACCAAATACCACAAAACTCAGAGGCAGTTTTTTGCAAGGTCATCAAGCCCATCCCTGTGGTATACTCTTGGCTTACGAGACAACATCTGGGAGACCCTTCTCCCAAACTCCCTTAAATTTCTAAGTGCACCATAATGACACACTCTATATGTATGACTTTAATTCCAAGATAAATTGCCCATCTCCCAGGCAATATTTTAGGGCAAGGCATCAAAGGGAAAAGGACAGGAAGGAAAGATATTTGTGTACATAGAAGCCAYAGATACATCAAAAATACCCAAATTACACAAATATAAACTCATAAAGAACCAATGGTTATTATGCAAGTTACAAAAGGACTTACCACAAGCTCCACTATTTTCATTCAGTTTACATACACTTTTAGCCATATATGTACACCACTGAAAGATAGGCAAAAGCATTCATACTTATTGTCTCTGACTAAGTCCAAAGGATCCTCCATTTGCTGAGAGTCCAACTAGAGGCTTGCAAAGAATTCACTTTAGGAGTCAATAAATTCACCTCACCTGGAAAATAACTTTGAATAATCTAACATTTTACAGAGCCAATGATCTAACATTTTCTTGTCCCTACATATGATCCCTGGAGAACAGGAGGACTTAAGAAGCAAAAAGGGCACAAACACTGACCTATAGCCTGCAGAGTTCAAATTTAGAAGAAAGCAAGTATATTTCTGTGGCTAAGTTCTTCACTCTTGGTCCAAACGGGAAAGCGCCCAGCTGAAAGGCAAATAAAGGTAAGTTAGGAGGAACTAACCTGGAGGAAAATTCTCTCTGGACAGTTCTCAGGACATTTGACTAGACTGTGCAAAACCAAAAGTCCAGAAGAATATATACTCCACTGTTTTTTTTGTTTTTTTTTAAAGAGAGAGGGAGAGAGGGAGAGAGGGAGAGAGGGAGAGAGGGAGAGAGGGAGAGAGGGAGAGRGRGAGAGRGRGAGAGRGRGRGAGAGAGAGAGAGAGAGAGAGAGAGAGAGAGAGAGAGAGAATTTTTAATATTTATTTTTTAGTTTTCAGCGGACACAACATCTTTGTTTGTATGTGGTGCTGAGGATCGAACCCGGGCCACGTGCATGCCAAGCGAGCGCGCTACCGCTTGAGCCACATCCCCAGCCCCTATACTCCACTGTTAATGATGGTCAGGGCAGAAAGGGAGATGAGGACTGAGCAGGGGAATATTAAGGGAATGTTACTTCAAGGCATCTGTCTTGCTTAATTTTTTTTAAGTTTTTTTTTTAAGATGGACATAATATCTTTAATTTATTTATATATTTTTATGTGGTGCTGAGGATCGAACCCAGTGCCTCACATGTGCAAGGCAAGCACTCTACCGCTGAGCTACAACCCCAGCACTCTCTTAATTTTTAAAGCAAAAACATGTATTACTTGTGCAAAGTTTCCCAGGAAGTCTCCAGAGCAATCCTCTTCCCCCCAGCCATGCTGCACTAACAGCTACCACCTCCTGGTGACTTCTGCCAAGCTCAGCCCTGGTCAGCAGTGGATTATATTCCAATGCTGAATCTACACAGCTGGAATATTCTGGGAAAGACAGGAGAGAATACCAAATTAGTGTGAGAGACCAAATTAGAAAACTGACATGAAGCCAGCACATTAGGCCATGCCTGTAACACCAGCAACTTGGGAGGATCACAAGTTTAAGGCCAACCTCAGCAACTTAGCAAGGGCCTAAGCAATTTAGTGAGACCCTGTCTCAAAATAAAAAAAGGGCTGGAGATGTGGCTCAGGGGTAAGTGCCTCCGAGTTCAATACCCAGTACAGGAAGGAAGGAAGGAAGGAAGGAAGGAAGGAAGGAAGGAAGGAAGGAAGGAAGGAAGGAAGGAAGGAAGAAAATTCACATGAAGTATAAAAGCACAGTACCTGGCCCATAATCAACATTTGCAGCGTGGTAGTTACCATTCTCCTTCTTACTGGCACCCAATGATCTCATCTTTTCCCTCAGCCCTTTTATAAGCTTCCATGAAGGGGGAAAATACAAGGAGCAGGCAATAATTATCCCACCACAAGATTTTAGCTAGGACAAGCAATGTTCTTTTATAAAATACATAACTGTCTGTTAGTTGGGAGCTTTTGTGAAATTTATTATACTACCAGCAACTATATTCTTCAGCTGCAGGTGTGACTAGGCACTAAAGGGCAACTGAAAAGTACTCTGGGACAAACCAGGAGAAGGTATGAGGGAAGCAAAACTTCTTTCCATAACTTTGCTTCAGGGTTTTGTTAACTTTTTTGGTGTTTGTTTGTTTGTTTTTTAATCCTTTTTTCCCCCCCAGGGCTGAGGACAGAACCCAGGGCCTTGCGTGTGCTAGGCAAGCGCTCTGCCACTGAGCTAAATCCCCAACCCCTGCTTCAGGATTTTGGTATGGTTTTTATCATTAGATTCTGGTTGGCATTTCTGGAAACACTAGGTGAAAGAGTTAAAAAGTGACTGTTACTCAACTTCCCAGACCTTATTTCTAAATACTATCTGTTAATAAGAGGAGCCAGAGCTCCAGGAGAAATGGCTCATTCCAAGGCTGTGGAAGAAAAGCAGGAGATAAGCCCAGAACATCTTGTTCAGTCAAAAAGTAAGGAAGTGCTAAAAATTTGATAGAAACATCAAAAGATTTAAAGGAACAGCCAATATCCGCCCCACCCCCGTGCTGGGGATGGAACAGGGACTCATGCATGCTAGGCAAGTGCTCTATCATGAGCTACACCCCCAGCCCCCAATATCATACTTAATAATGAAACACTAGATGTTTCTCCTCTATGACTGGGAATAAAAAACTATTCCAGATTAGAGGAAAAAAAGACATAACAAATAAATACAATGTATGATCCTGGGCCACACAAAGGCTATTGTTGGGACAACTGACAGTATTTGAATAAGGTCTACAGATAACAGAATACTGAATGAATGTTACTTTCCTGAATTTGATGGTTACACTGTGGCAAGGTAAGAGAATATCCTGGTTTTAACAAACATTCAGGATGTTTTAAAGAAATATTCAGATATAGTCCATACATATATCTATAAGAGAACATAAATAAATAATAACGCAGTATGGTAAAAATATTGGCATTAAATAAATCTGAGTAAAGAGTAATATTCTTTGTACTTTTTTTTTTTTTGGTAACTTTTTTGTCCTTCCCAAATAAAGTTTTGTTTTAAGTCATTACTACTTAAAGGAAAGGTTGGTTCTCCTCAGACCAGAAGGCAGGTAGTACACAATAAACTTGGACTTTCTTTTAAAGTATACTGGCAGAAATGGATTTTGCCAGTGAACAGCCAAACCAATGGATTTGCTCCTTACTCCATTACCTACAGTGAGCTTGACTGGGGAATACACCTGTCATTCCTAAGGTACAAGAACAAAAGTCAGATGCCTGATATGAGGAACCTCACTACAACAGACATCTTTTAAATGTAGCCACCTAAAGAAGAACTATTCATCCACCACATACCACATATTTATCCACCACATACCATCCTAACCTACCAATGAACTCTGACTCAAGGGGAGTTCAAGGGAGAAGGCAAACACTGGAACCTGACAGATCAAGTTTAACAGAAGCACTTTGGTGTCCATCAATGCATAATGGGGGCAGAGGAGGCCTCCAATACTTAGAGGGTAGTGCTGTTTAAACCTGATTCTACATGAAAACCTCACTGCCCAGTAAAACCCAAGTCCTTATCTTGCCCTCAACAGAAAAAAAAACAGGTGCTCTCAGCAACAAGCAGAAAAACAGAAACCCAAGAGGCTGGGATAAGAACTAAAGGGACTAAAGAGATGGAAACAAGGAAACTCTAGGAAGCTCAAGAGTTTCTGTAATCACTGTCATTCAAGGAAGGAACACATCATCTTTTAATCTCCTTAAATTAGACAGGAACATCAGATTTTAGCAAAGCCATGCCAGGGGGAATGGCAGGAGGACTAATGAATCAATCATATTCCTCCCTTGCTCAATTAATTAATCTTTTAGAGGTAAGGGCAGGAAATAAGTTACAACTGCACAAAAAAAGACTTTATAATAATTGGGGCTGGGGATATGGCTCAAGCGGTAGCGCGCTCGCCTGGCATGCGTGCGGCCCGGGTTCGATCCTCAGCACCACATACAAACAAAGATGCTGTGTCCGCCGAAAACTAAAAAAAATAAATATTAAAAAAAAAGACTTTATAATAATAATAAAAAAAAATCCAGGTAGAATATCGGGGCCGCAGGCCCTGGAACAGGCGTCCAAGTAACAGAAATTCCCAACATGCCTGGGGTAATAAGGACTTCTCCCTAACCTCAGCAGATCTTCGCTTCCACTCAGTCCATCAACAGGTCTTTCCAGCTTCAAATACTGGTCTCCAATTTCCAGTCATTAGCTCAATCAAGCCACCATCACCTCTTACCTGCTGATTCCTTTGCTTCTACTCTTTCTCCTCCTTACAATCTGTTTTCTAGGCAATGGCCACAGTGCTCTTTAAACATAGCGTAAAGCCTTCTGATGCTCTAAGGCGCAAGTGATCTGACTGGACTCTCTCTGACCTTGTCAAGAGCCACTCTCCTCACCAGGCATGTTTCCACCACATTTGTTGCTCCTGAAATAATCAGATCCCCAAATGACCAGTTCAGTTCCCCCATTCAGTATTGAGCTAAACAAGCCTCCCTGTCAATGCTCTCTAATACTGCCCCACCCACAATCATTCCCTATTGTACTACCCTGTTTATTCCATTTCATTCATCTACTATCTAATCCTGTGATATTTTAATACTTCCTTATACTTGCCTAAAAATACAATAAAGGGGTAAACAAAGAAATGATTCTTTACAAAAGATTACCAATAGGGTTGGAAACACCAAGATGAGAGACTTCCCTGTGTATACCTTTTCTAATATTTTAATATCTGAATTACATAAATGAATCACTTACCTATTTATTATATTGTAAAATGAAAATTTCAATTAATTATGCATTTCTTTGTTATTTGCCTATCTTCCAGAATGAAAGCTCTTTAAGAACAGGGACCGTATTTATACAGTGTATGCTCAGCCCTAGAAACATAAAAAGGGCACATTAAATATTTGTTAAATAAACAAATGCATCTACAACACTTCTGACCAGCTAAGTAACAATTTTTCTACTTTAATGTGCTAATTTACAACACAACACAGAAGACTTCACTTCTGGTCAACAAAAGCGCTATGTGGGGGACACATACCAAGATGTTCTCTAGTGGCCACCAGCTGGGTGTCCTTCAATTCAATTCTGATACTATCTGCCTTAAAATAGCTCAGATCCCATAGGTTAAGGGCTTAATCACACAGACTGCTTACATTCCAGATTGTAGTTATTAAGTCAGGCTATGACCCGTGCTTCTGACAAATCAACTAAAAATCCAAGCCTCTCCTTAAATAAATAATTTGCTAGAGTAGCTCACAGAACTGAAGGAAACTTTTCCCTCCACACTACCCTCCACATACCTGCAAGTGTTCAGCAATCTGGAAGCTCTCTAAACCCTGCCCTTTGGGGTTTTTAGGAAGGTTGCTTTATACAGGCATGACTGATTAAATCACTAACCACTGGTGATCAACTGGACTTCAGCTCCACACCCCTCCCCAGAGATTGGGGGTGGGACTGAAAGTTCCAGCCATCTAATCACATGACTGGTTCCCCTGGCAACCAGCCTCCTATGCAGAGGCTACCCAAGAGCCAGGGTCATCTAACTAGCA